CACACACACACACACACACACACACACACACACACACACACACACAGGTCAAGAGCCAAAGGTCATATTGTGTCTGAAGAGGATTTACTCTTTTGGCTGTTTGATCTCAAACATTCACTCACACACACGCACACTGACATAGAATTACAAAAAGCAGAGTGGCCGGTTCAACATGTGCTGTTGAATGACCTGGACCAGACTAATACATATCTGTCATTCTGTTGGTGTCCTTTTATTGCAAAAAGGGATCTGATTGGGTCTGATGATGTAGATATATATTAGTTGGTTGTTTATTTGAAGACTTTTCCTTGAATTTGAATGTATTCTCACATTTTTGTTTACATTTAACATTGGATTCTTTAAAAGTTAATAAATTAATAAATAGTATTTACTTTTATTGTATTAAATATCATTATGCTGAAACTTTGCACATCTATTCTGATGAAACAGTAATATAGCTTTGATCACAGCCCTCTAACCCAGTATAAATATCCTAGTGTTGTTAAAGTCTTAAGCATTAACCATTAGCTAAGGTCGTCCATTAATGCTGGGGAATATGACCCGCAGGCCGTGGTGAGTTTTTAAAAATAAGCTAGAATATGGCACATTTCTAATGAATTGTGTTGAATGTGATTGCACATCCTACTTTAAACACTCGATGTTGCCTAAATTTAGTAAAATGATCTGTCTTAACCTCTTGGTACAGTAACCGATATTTTTGTACCATCCTAATATTAAATTGACAGATTTACATCTTTTGCATTGCAGTCTTTTGAGTGGGGCCTTAGACCATAAGCACACAAAAAATATTTGGCAATTTCTGCCTGTTTTAACTTTACATTTATACATATTTACACAAAACATCAAAATATTTCAAGTGGGCAATTGTATTAGAGTTTAAAATGATTCACTTCATTTTCATTCAATTAAGAGCAGCAGATATATAAATACATATTTGTAATATTTGGGGACACCAATGAACGTACCATGTCAAACATTAAACTGTTTTCGTATATTTTGATAGAAAGTATATTTTGTATGGCACATGGGGTTTTCTAGTCTTGAACACTGATCTTCTCGGAGTGTAACTGGTTGAAAAGTACATATTCGCTATTGTTCGGCCCGTGACTGCATATATTTTTCTGATTATGGCCCATAATCAGAAAGGTTTGACGGCTGCATTATAATTTTAGAGTTTAGTATTAACATGGAATCGTTCTCCCAGCATCAGTTTTGAGACCTTTGTGTTTTATTAAAACTATAGAAAGCAGAGAATCTTGAAATGTCTGTAATCACTTTCCTCTTCATCTATTTGATTTTTCAAGCTGTACTGTGAGCTATCACCATCATCTAGTGAGGAAGAAAAGCCAGATCTGTCACTCAACTAAATGTGCATCACTCAGTGATAAAATGAGTGGTGAATGATTACTGTGTAAGAACTGATTCTCTATTTCTCCCTTTTCGAACGTCGAGCTATAGAACTGTAGGTGGTTGAAACGTGTCAGTAAAATCAAACCCAGATTTAATGAGTCACATAATTGGAACAATTTCTCAGTACATTTTGTCAGTCATAAAGTCTTCTGGTAACAACAAAGAAAAGAAAAACACACACATCAGGAAGTGCATTTCCTTCATAATTTAAAGAAAACAATGAGGTTATAGCTCTAAATCAGAGATAAATCAGCAACAAAGAATCATCAACACTATTAATGTTGTGAGGTTAGCCACAGTCAGATTTACAATCCAATGAAGAGGCTCTTATTATACAGAATTTACCGAGAAAACAAATCAAAAAATGAATAAATGTTGGTTGGTATTGCAACTAGCTTTCTAGTTTGGGATTTAAAAAACTGCTTCATGTTGTCATTCTGTTGGTTCCTATGGTTACATTCAGTGACACCTCACTGTTGCGGCTACATGCTAGCTGCTGGGACTTGAAGCCACTGGCACAGAGTGACTATTATGCTGCATTGAGGTCTGATGGGCACCACTGTTGAACTGATTTCATTTTTATGAAAATGTCATCATTGTATCATCAATACGTCTTGATCAAAGTATTTTGTACACTTCCATTTCTCCAGATTGGCTTTCACACACGAATACCACTGTAGCATCAGACGCCACATCTTCTCACCTCTATAGGCTCCAGCTTCCACTATTTCAAAGAAATCCATGGAAAACAACACACATATTCCTGCACTGACAAATGTAATCCATCATTTCACATTACACATATACAGTATATGTGCCCATTACTTTACCACGCTACTAATTATAGTGATAAATAAGAGTATTTTCTCTTTTTTCATTTGTCCTTTCTGGAAGACTCACACCTCTTTTGACAGCTGCAGTGGTTGTGGTGTTTTACAGTCATTATAAAACTACATGTCTAATGTAAATTGATGGATTGTGCCATTATACCATGGCAGCAATAACTTCATCGCTGTGGAATGTGTGCATTGTGCAAAAATATGAAGTTCTAGCAGGATTATTCTGAACACACAAGAACTTCATGAACCTCATACAATTTACTGCACAGGCTTCAGCCCGTAGTGTTGTCCTTCTGTGACAATTCAAGAGTCAGAATGATTTACTTCACTTAACATCGTCTTTCTCTCCACTTGACTTCAGCCATTTCCTTGATGATGAAGCCAGAATTAGAGCCAGGTCCATCACGAACCCCTGACTTCCCAAATACTACAGTACCTAGCATCCTCATAAAGCAGCGTAACAGAGCAGCTTCTGTACTCTATCTGCTGCACATGAAGCATGTCACCTCCAAAAGCAAAGCATTGTGATTACAAATTCCCCTAATGTAATGTGTGAGTAACCACTTTAATACATTCAATTTCAATCATAATCTGGACAAAAGCTCACACGAAATATTAGCTAGTTGGTTCCTACAACACTGAAAATACTGCATGACACTTTGCTTTTACCTACATGTGCGACAATCAGAACTATTATGAAACCATCCATTTTAACGAATGCAGTTTTTAGGATTTACATGTATGTTCAATAATTTCACATTTGTCATACTTGGAATTTTCTCTTTAAAATTCAGGAGTGGACCCGTGGTTTGAGTCATGTACAGATAACTTTCTCCCCAGCGGAAGAAAGCGCTCGTCTGACTTATTAATCATAGATTTCTTAATCTGAATGCATTTGGAGTTTTAATGAGACCGAAATTAAATAGACTAAAATGAACTCGTACACATAACCAGCGCCGCTGCCAGGATAATTGGTCTACCAACACCCAACCTTGCAGAGCTTAACAATAAGCATTGCTAGCATTCTAACCTCAACAGAGCAGGAAATCACACACCTACTCAATCACCAGCTCACCCTCCTTGCCTCTGGGTGCAGGTACAGAGCACTGAGGTGTAGATGGACTCGCTTTGGGTAAAGCCTGATCCCTGCAGCCATGCAATAAACAACAGGCCTCGCTGAATAGACCTGAGTGTGTCCTGTTGTCTGACATTGTAAGTTGGTACTGTTGAGTTGTTGTATGTACTATTGTCTAACGTGCTGTGGAGAGAAATTTACCCTTGGGGACGAGAAAGTCCAAAGTTTAAAGTCTTTGTGCAGTTTGGTGAATTGGAACACATACAAGCAAACTTCAAAAGACATAAGAGAGATTAAGGATAGGAATAAGACAGTGTTCTTGCATGACAGTGTGTAAGATGCAAAAAAAAACAAAAACATCATTTAGTATTAGCCACAGAAAAACAGATCTAGTTGACTCTCGACACTTGACACATCTTGACATTGTGGTTGTTACCACTGGACAATGCATCAAGGTCATTTGATTTGCCGAATAGCTCTAATGTTACTGGAAATGCTACTAGAGATATTAGTGAGTGGATTTAGCGTCCCCTGTGTCACTTGTCCCACTGGTAAACGTGAAGCTGCTGTCCAAGTGCAAAACAGCAGCATTGTCCCGGGATCTGTGAGGGCTGTGCTCCTCCTCCTCCCTCCACCAATCAGTAGTCGCCATCCGTTAGTGCAGTATCAGAGCTCGTCTTCATTGTTCCACTTCAAAAACCTCCTTTGCAGTGACACGGTTTGAAAGACATTTCAGATGTTTCACACCTTTGATTAAAATCAAATAAGCACAGTCTCTCTCACAGTACAGTGGTGAATTTCATTCGTTTTTCTAGCCTTTATCGTAAGATTTATTGGTTGTTGTGAAAATTGTTAAAATCCATTTCCACAGTGTTCCATACTTTCATGTATAGCAACCCAATCACCGGTTCCTATTCTTCAGTGCAGTGTGAGGATCTCTGGGACATCTGGTAGGTGGAACTACACGGCCACATGGCCAATCAGGTATATGTTGTCGTAGAGGTGGCCTACAAAGTCATCCGAGACGTTATGTGCCGCTCGGCGAGTGTTCCTGATAAACTCCCTCTTGGACATTTTGTTTTTGACGTGGGGACTGGTCAGGTCGATGGACAGCAGGATCAGACTGTAGCACAGCACATACACCGCATCTGCAGAGAGATGATAGAGGTCGTTTTTGTTTGTCGCCAGCTTTCACGCAAACTCAGGAGTGTGAGGCTCTAAAGAGAACAGGTCATTTCTGTAGTGTTCAAACTGAGAAGTCAAAGCCCCACTAGAGTCCCATAAAGGCTGAAGTTTCACTGGTCAGATAGAGAAACTACCCTGTCATGGATTTCAAGCATGTTTAATAAAGTCAGGACCTGAGCCTCACCTCACCTTAAACCAAAATATTACTGAAGGAAGAGCCACAATAAAAGGGGGAGAAAAGGGGCAGTAAAACAAACAAGACTTATTAAATGACATCCTAACATGATGAATAAGACACATACATCTATACTGTGCTACTTATAAATTGCTCTCTAAGGAGTGAAGGGGTAGAACAGCAGTGAAATGAAAGAGCTGACTTGAGAAAGGCAGCCATCCAGCCATCTCCAGCCTTGGGCTCGAAACCATTTCACTAATCCTACTAATCATTTGAGAAGGTCCAAAGAGTTAACAGTAACTTAGTCAGGGATTGGTTTCTGTACGGTCTGCTAACATTAGCCAAGCCCTCAGTTGGTAGATGCACGGTCCAGTGACAATACTGAAGCCGGGGATTACTTGAAAATAAAACCTTGACGGTTTCCCCCTCATTTTGTGGTTGAGCCATTGAGTCAGAAGTAACTTCAAAATAATTTCTTCTGTCTGAGTTTTTGGCCCTCTGACTTCAGGGTTAAAACATAGTGACGTCTAGTTATGGTCAAGGTAGGTTGGGTACTAATGGTCCAAAGAGGACGTTTCTGAATATTCCGATGACCCCTGACCTCTCTTGTAACATAAAATTAAAATTCCGACCCAAACACCAGAAATATAAATCGATTCACTCTTTGGAATCGACTGAATGTATTTATGTTCTCCAGAGGATAAAGCCTCTTTAATTTGGGACAGTCCATGAGCTTTCCTCTAGCGCCACCTTCAGGTCAAAGTGTGCGTACACAGTTGTGTACAAATGGATCGCTTTAGCTTACCACAGATGTACTGTGTCTGAGTATATCCTGGCTACTAAGTAACAAGAAATTGCAGGATAGAAAAGCCAAAAGCATGTACAATGTAACATAGATCCATTCTGCCCAATTCAAAATAATAGTTCTTTGGTGTGACAATGGTTACGATGGAAAATGAATGCAAAGGTATCCCAGTACAAGCAGTGATCACAGACCACAAATTAATGTTAACTTATCGTGCCCATCTGAACCCCATCGGCTCATTCACCCTGCACACCTGGTTTGATGTTATAAAGCAATTCAACTTGTGGATCCAGTTAAGAAAACTCAGATGGCTTCTTGCATATGACACAGAATTTAAACCAACTTGCAACCTCACCACTAGATGTCACCAAATTGACATCTAGTCAATTTGGTGACATCTAGTGGTGAGGTTGATTGATTTCTTCAGATACGTACAGTATGTACCTGCTACCATTAGGCTCATGGTGGATCTTGAATTTGGTGCTAAATTTGCCTATTTGCTATGTAAAGATATAGTGGATTAATGTCTACCTGAGGAGAGAATGAAGTCACTCTTCCTCTGTGTGTGGTTTACTCATCTCTTTTCCCTTCGGTGTGAATGGTGTGCTTGAATATTGCCTCTAGTGTGTTTGTGCTTTCTGTCCGTTTATGTCTCCATGGTGGACAGGAGGCCTTGTGGCTCAAGTTCTATCTGCTTAGCACCTGAAGTTGCTTGACTTCATCCTGGATCATATTCTTTACACATGTTTACAATCAATCTATCATTTTTTTATCCTGATTTCCCATATTGTAAGTTTGCAATATTGACTAAAGTTAAATGATCATCAAATAGTAACAATCGCAAGAACTTTTCTTTAGTTTTTACAGTGAATATTTAGTTGTGACTGACTTGGTTTTATACCAGCATACATTTAGCGTGAAGACACTTTTGTTGTTTGCTATGAAGCACAGTTTCATAAGTCCGCCAAAGACCCATAACTATAACTATTGTGTAAGTATTTAATTATTACCAATAAGCATAGGACCACAACTACAAGCCCTTATAGTTAACATACAGTATGTGCTCAGTATTTATGTCTGTGTGTGTGTGTGTGTGTGTGTGTGTGTACTAACCAGGACTGAGGCCCAGCTCTCGGACAAGGACAGGGTTACAGGTACAAAACCTGTGGCTGAACTTGGTGATGAGGGTCTCCAGATACTCTCCTCTCTCCTCTGGTGCGTGGATGTGTCTGAAGAAGTCCCGCAGAGCGTTGGGGAGGAACTGGTTGCTAAAGTTATGGAGGGTCACCAACTCGTCCAGGACGTCCCGCCTGCACATCCATAGACACACACAAATACACACCAAATGGCATGATGGGACATTTTTATTTGTACACAGGTAATGAAAGTTACTGAATTATCAGATTTGGAATTCTTATTTCAAGGACAAGGGGCACCAATAATGTATATTTAATATCATAGCAGACACATTAGATAACCAGAAAAATAATAATCTAAAATCATACATCTAATTATTTTAGGGCATGGTTTTAGACTTTCTTAAGGCAACACAGAAGAATCGCACAAAAGAGCTGTTGTCACAGAAGTATCACGTGTTGTTGTGGAAGTCTAGTGATGACATTTCTGGGTATTCTGTGTGGTTCTGTGTTAACCTCTCATCCAGGTAAATCCTCAGCATCTTCCAGTGGAGCCGTCTGGTGTAGAAGATGAACTTAGCCAGCTCTGTTGGATGATCCACTAGTATACCTTTAGACATGAAGTAATCGATGCCCTACACAAACACACACACACACACACACACACACACACACACACACACACACA